GGGGTGTTCCCCTCTCTATATAATTTTGGGGAGGGGTCTCACCTGTCCCCCTTTCCCCCACCAGTGCGGAAGGTGCCGTTTGCCCATGACGAGCAGCACCTGCTGGATGGGTTGGGGGGCTCCCCTGACTTTGGGGGTGATGGCTCTGTTTGGGGGGGTCTCCCCTTGTTCTGGGGGGTTCCTAGCTCTGTATAATTTTGGGGAGGGGTCTCACCCGCCCCCCTTTTCCCCCCCCACTGCGGAAGGTGCAGTTTGCCCACGACGAGCGGCACCTGCTGGATGGGCTGGGGGGCTCCCCCCAGTTCTAGGGGTCTCCCCTGGCTCTGGGGGCTTCCTAACCCTGTATAATTTTGAGGAGGGGTCTCACCTGTCCCCCTCTCCCCCTCCCCAGTGCGGAAGGTGCAGTTTGCGCTCAATGAGTGGCACCTGCTTTTCCCCTGGCTCTGGGGCTGATCCCTCTGTTTTGGGGGGTCTCTCCTGCCTCTGGGGGGTTCCCCTCTCTATATAATTTTGAGGAGGGGTCTCACCCGCCCCCCCCTCCCCCCCCAGTGCGGAAGGTGCCGTTTGCCCACGACGAGCGGCACCTGCTGGATGGGTCTGGGGGTCTCCCCTGGCTCTGGGGCTGATCCCTCTGTTTTGGGGGCTTCCTAACTCTGTATAATTTTGGGGAGGGGTCTCACCCGCCCCCCTCTCCCCCCCCAGTGCGGAAGGTGCAGTTTGCCCACGACGAGCGGCACCTGCTGGCCTGCTGCTCTCTGGACGGGACGCTGTCCGTGTGCCGCCTGGCCCCCGGGCCCCCGGCCGTGCTGCGGCGGCTCCGCGGCCACGGCGCCGGCGTCTCGGACTTCGCCTGGTCCCTGTCCAACGACGTGCTGGTGTCCGCCTCGCTGGACGGGACCCTGCGCCTCTGGGACCCCGCGGACGGGCGCTGCATCCGCCGCGTGCCCGACCCCGACGGGGCCGCGCTGCTGTGCTGCGCCTTCCAGCCGCTCAACAACAACCTGACCGTGGTGAGGGAAACCCCAAAACTGGCCTGAAATACCCCAAAAAACACCCTGAAACGTCACAGCCCTGAGAGACCCCCAAACATTCCCCCAAACCCAACCCCGCGCTGCTGTGCTGTGTGTTCCAGCCGCTCAACAACAACCTGACCGTGGTGAGGGAAACCCCAAAATAACCTAAAACTGTCCCAAAACTGCTCTGAAACCCCAGAGCCCTGAGAGCCCCTCCTGGGACCCCCAAAAACCCCCCCAAATCCAACCCCGTGCTGCTGTGCTGCACCTTCCAGCCGCTCAACAACAACCTGACTGTGGTGAGGGAAACCCCAAAACTGTCCTGAAATACCCCAAAAAACACCCTGAAACCCCAGAGCCCTGAGAGCCCCTCCTGGGACCCCCAAACCTGACCCCATCGGGGCCGCGCTGCTGTGCTGCGCCTT